ACCTTTGAGGGGATTTAAGCTGGGTTCTTCGAGATGGGCGCTATTTAGGGAATGTTCATGTCATTCCTCTGAGCGAGGAGCCGTCAGACCCCCTACTTCAAAACGCACAGACCCTCGCTCACGTCCCCGCCCCGTAACTCCGTCCAGCGCGCTGCACTTGGCCGTTGCTCTGAAGGCTCTGACTACCCGCCAGCCCCTAGCAAAGTGGACCCTGAACACACACAAAATAGAGACTGGCTTAAAGTGAAACACAGCAAATGGAAGGCAGGAGTACCTCACCCTTTCCAAGATAGTTCAATGTGGCCTTGGCATTTAGGGTTATCTTTCATACTAAACAACTACTTTATCCCCAGATCACAAGTGCACCACGACAGTATATGTCCAACTGAGGTCTGTGGCCACAGAGGGTAGACACCTTTAAGAAACTATGTGTTTCCCAAATGAACTTATCTATGAAACAGACTCACAGACACAGAGGACAGACTTGCAGACTTGTGGTTGCCGGGGGCGGGGGGGGGGGGGGTAGGGGGTTGGGAAGGGGTGTCGGCCCCAAGCCACTCAACCTACGTGGACCCGCGCTGGCCCCTCCCAGGCCCACAGTGCTGGTCTCTGGGTCGTTCCAGCCTTTTGCATTTGGCACTGAACTCACGCTGCAGGGCCCCACGTCCTGCACTGGGGGTCTTTACGGGAAGCCCCCCCACCCCGCCCCCCGAAACCTTGAGGCCCAGAAACTTCCTCCAGGCCCAGAGCCCAGCCCGGCCACCTCTCTCCTGAGCCAAGGGTTTGATTTTGTCTGGCAAGTCTCCTGAATGGCATCAACGCCGTTCCGTGCTTGCCTTGGCCCCTGGGGAGCTCAGAGCCCTCCTGGTGCCCTGGGCCCTCCAGCACCCACTCTCACCCCCGGCTTCCATCCTCCCTCCTGACCTTAAGATACTCCACTGTCAGTGCACGCGTCGGCCTGCTCTCGAGACCGCTAGGTGGCGTTTCGGAGGGGGCTCTGAGTAGCTCGTTTTTTATGTCTCAGGGCAGAAAGCATTCAGAGAGAGGCAAAGCGATAGATAGGAAGTGATTTATTAGAATAAGACACTTGTGAGGCTTACAGGCGGGCGGGCAGGAGGATGCTGTACCCAGAACTCAGGGGGCTAGTTTTATAATCAAAGGAAAAGTGAGGGAGGCGGCAGGGGGGCTGGAGACCACTTTCTTCCTCATTCTTGATGTCACAGTCCCACCCTTTTCCACGTCCGGCCGGGGAGTTTTCTCGTCTCTACACGGTCAAGCCGGAACTGTCACGGCACAATGAAAATGAGCAAAAGGGTGGTAACGTATGCGTATGCTAAAAACGGTAAATCATCTCAGGTTTTAGTATGATGTCACCTTTTCCTTATATTTTTGTTTTTAGTGCACACAGAGGAGCGTGTCCTAGGAATCATTAACTTCCTGAGCTCACTGGGCAGGATGTGGGTCTCGTGGCGCCACTGTTTTACTGTTTGGGGGCGTCTCGTGCTCCTGGTGCATAGTGTTGTTGCTAAGCAAACCTGCTTTCTCGAGTGATCATTAACTCGCAGGGGTCTCCCATACTGTTTTCTTTACTTGTAATCCCCTAGTGGGATTAACTATTTAATCACCTACTTCGTCCCTTTACTCTGTTCCTGCCGCTCTTAGGACTACGAGACAACTGCTCTGATGACGGGTGTGCTGGGGACGCGACAGCCCTGTCCCCCTCAGCCTCCCCAGACCTCCCGTCCTCACGGCCTCCTCACTCGGGGCGCCTCCACCGCTAGGTGCACGGCCCTGACACGTTTACTTCTCGGGGTTCCGTTGTCTGTGACGGAAGCACACTGCATCCCGAGGGCTGGGCCCGTCCCAGACACGGTCTCCCAGGGCCTGCTGGAGGCTCAAGGTGGATGTCACCAGCTTTGGGGACGCCCCGTGTGGTCAGCCGTGATGCTCACCTGCCAGCCGACCCCGGGTCCCCGGGATCGGGCAGCACAGCGTGGCTGGGAAGCGAGGTGGGCGCCATCTCCGTGCAGCAACGGGAGGGGCTTTGTCAGCATTGAATTGTGGCTCAGACCCCTGGTGCTGGGGGGTGCAGGAGGGAGTGGCTGCCCTGGGGATGGGGCTCTTTCTGGGGTGGTGGGAAGGTGTGAGAACTAGACAGAGGTGGTGGCTGCATGGCCTGTGGACGTGCTGGATGCCTCTGACCCGGGACCTCCCAGGTGATGCACCCTGTGATGTGCATTTCACCCCAGTCAACTCAGTAGTGCATGAAATGTCCACAACAGGCAGCTCTACTGATTGCCTGAGGCTGGTGGGGAGGCTTTGGGGGAAGTGGGGGTGATTAATAAAGGTAGTGGGGTCCTTTGGGGGTGATGGAAAGTTCTGAAATCGGCTAGGGTGACGGCTGTACAGCTCCGCGAACAGACTAAAAACCCCCTGAATTGTATGCTTGAGAGGAGTGAGCTGGATGCTCTGTGAGTTATATCTCAATAAACCGTTACTACCAAAGCCAAACCCGTGGCGCATTCTGGAGAAGCCACATCATCCAGCAGAGGCGAGCCCGGGCCCACGAGCTAGTTCTGGGCCGAGCTGGGGCCGTGCCGTGACAGGGCGCCTCTCGGCTGCGGAAGCCGCCCTGCGGGAAGGGAACCAGGCGGACCCGTCCGGGACTGGCCACGTCCAGACCAGTGTGTTTAGGCTTCGGGGCCTCATGGGATCTGATGAAAGCCGTGGACCCCCTGCTTGCGGGGGAAGGAGAAAAGCACGCAGAGCACCTTGGGTACAATTTCAGGGGATGCCCTGGGTCTCCGAGTCGGGGTGTCTGTGCTGGGGCTGCTCCCCGGGGTCCCAGCCCAGCAAGTGGGGCAGGAGTGGAGGAAGGGGTGGGGAGTAGGGTCACGCTATGGGACCCCCGCGCAGCCGGACACCCTGCCATCTGTCCTTTCCTCTCTGTCTCCAATGTTCTGGCCCCCAGATGGGCCTTGGATGACCGTGGCCTCACACTGGCCGTCACCAGGTCTGACCTGCACCCTCATTGCTGATGTGACACTGCCGGTTCCTGAGATCCGTACGTGCCTCTATCAGCCTCCAACTCAGGGCTGGACAGGAAAGCCCGTCTGTGCCGTAAACTCGTGGCTGTGCCATTAGGGACGTAGCGGAATGCACTGGCCACAGGTGGGGGCACCGCGTGGGAGCCTGTGGGCCGCAGCCATGGGTTATCAACTGATGTGATTACAACTGATAAACTAAGTATTCATAACGTGTGTTTTATTCCTGGCTTTGCCCCCTGAGGTTCCTGCCCCTCTCCTGCTGGAATCATAACCGCGGAGTTCCCAAGCATCTCCTACAAGGCGGTGCTTCCCAGCTTTCACTCCGAGGGGCATGGGGCGCGGCTACAATGAGCGGCAGTTGTCTTTCCC